CAATGGTAATCCTATTTTCGGGTTTTGGAAATAAGTCAGTAAATGTAATAGTTGCAGGGGGTCCACCAGATCCAGCAAAATGTTTAAAGTGGTCTACGAGAAAAAAAGTTTGGGACCCTCTGAAATAGACAATAAACAAAATTTAAGAAAAAGAAAGATAATTTAGAAGGCGAAATAATGATTTAAATTGCACATTTCCATTAAATACAGGTTTCTTATTACCTACTATTTCAGTTTATTGTGATACATAACAAAGCATTCAAACAAAATCTAGGTTTTAATATTTTTCTATTTTCTTGATAAGCTTCTAGGATGTACATAGATATATGACCATAAAAAACCCTAGAAAAATACCTAAGTAGTGGGGGACAAACCGGTCAACGTTGAAAACCCCTTTTCGTTGAAGGAATTCCAGATAATAAAATGTTTTGATGGAAAATTCAAAATGGCCGCTCAGATTCACGTGTCAAACTGTTGAAATTATGCGAGTAATTTACACAAAATAAAAAATAAAAATAAAAATTACAATTAAAATTATCAAAGCACTAAAAAACAAAAACTAAAATTTTAATTCTTATTTAATGTTTAATTACTTCGGGTGTTGAACAATGTCATTTAAGATAATTGCTTTAATGTAATTTATAACCTCCTTCCGTTTAATTAATATTTCGATCAATTTATTTTTTATAGATTTGTTTATTAACTTTGCAAAGGAGAAGCGGAACACTGTATCATAATTATCAATATTGTCTTAAATATAACATTAAGTATGTTTATAATGTTTATTAGGGTCCAGTCAGTAGGTACTTATAGCATAGAAGATAACCAATTAAATTACTCAAAATCCACATTCATTGAAAAGGTATCTTCTGGCAATATTATTAAGCATCAATTTAAATTAAAACATAAAACTAAATTAGATAACTTGTTGTCATTGTACAGTCAAAATATTCAGGGCTTATCATCAAAATTCCTAGAAATGGAATTGTTTTTAGAGAAATTCCAATATGATATTATTTGTTTAACTGAACATTGGTTAAAAGATTATCAAGTAGAAACAATTAACTTCAATAACTATTGTGTTGGCAGCAATTATAGCCGCCAAGCAATGATACATGGTGGTAGCCTAATTTTAGTAAAGAACTCAATAAAATATAAACAAAGACAAGACATTGCTCTGCTGTCAATTGAACACACAATAGAGTTGTCCTGTGTTGAGCTGGATAGGCATATTGTAGTATGTGTTTATAGGCCTCCTAACATACAGAATCTAAATATTTTTCGCTCTGTAATGGAAGATGTACTGCGGAAAACATGTTCTAGTAGTAAATGTACTATAGTATGTGGCGATTTTAATGTTGATCTCTTAGAAAACAATTCTCATTGTACAAACTTGTTAAGTCTCTTTCAATCATTTGATTTGTCTAATGTTTTCCTTGAGCCCACCCGAGTAACATCCACCTCGGCAACTTGTATAGATAATATTTTCTGTAATTGTGATTATTTACAAAGTGAAATTGTAAATAGATTACCATCTGATCACAGTGGGCTCACAGTTAACTTTAATACTATCACAACTGTGCCAAAAAAGGAAATATTGTTTAGACAAATCACATACAAAAAAATTTATTCATTAAATAATAAGCTAAAACATGAATTATGCAGCCAAGTACAAGACAATAATTGCCCGAGTGAGATATATGCTAATTTATTATCCCTTATAAAAATACAGTTCGATAAACTATTTCCTTTAAAACGTAAAAATGTTCAGTGTAAATTTGTATTCTGTGACTGGGCTACACCAGGTATTCGTATAAGTAGAGACAGGTTATTTGAGCTATACGGCCTGAAACCATTTAATAGTAGCGAGGCTTTTCGCAGACACGTTTCCAAATATTCAAAAATATTTAAAATAGTATGTAAGCATGCTAAGTCGCTCCACATTAGTAATAAAATCAGGACCGCGGAAAACAAAATAAAAGCTACCTGGAATATAATTAATAAAGAAACAGGTAGAAATAAATCACAAAACAATGAATTTAATTTAAAAACCGAAAAGGGATATACTAGTTCAAATTCGTCAGTTGCCCAGGAATTCGAAAGATTCTTTAAAAATATTCCTCTTAAAACTACGGAAACGTTAAAATCATCTCCAGCTCTTTCTGTCGAGCTTCTCAGGGGTAACGTCAAAGAATGTCCTTCTGACTTTAGCTTTCAATACACAACCCCCCAGGCAGTAATAAAGGCGTTCAATGAGATCAAAGTAAAGTCAACTGAAGATCTTTGGGGAATGTCTGTTCGAGTGTGCAGGTCGTTTATAGAGACTATTGCGCCGCACTTAACTTTCATTTTTAATAAAAGTGTAGATCAAGGGGTTTTCCCGGATTTAATGAAACATAGTAAAGTAGTTCCATTATTTAAATCAGGCGATAGTACAGAACCTAATAACTATAGGCCGGTCTCTATTTTGCCAGTGCTCAGTAAAGTGTTCGAAAGGTTGATGCTTACTCAAATGCTGCGTCACTTTAACACGAATTCTATTTTCCATGACCATCAATACGGGTTCACCAAAGGACGTTGCACTACGGACGCAGGAGTATCACTTATAAAACAAGTTTTCAACTCGTGGGAAAAAGCACAGGATGCCATCGGAATATTTTGCGACCTTTCAAAGGCATTCGACTGTGTTGAGCACGAGACGCTGTTACTGAAGCTAGAACACTACGGCATTCGGGGGGTATCCCTAGATTTATTGAAATCATACCTTCAAGAAAGAAAAATTAAAGTACAAGTCAACAAAGTTAACTCACTGGGTGCTAGCGTATCTATGGGCGTACCGCAGGGCTCAATATTAGGTCCTTTTCTATTTTTAGTTTATGTGAATGACCTGCCCCATTTGTTCCAAAATGAACCGCATATGGTATTATTCGCTGATGACACTTCATTGATTTTTAAAATAAATAGACGAACAAACAAATATGACGAAGTTAATAATGCCTTAATGAAGGTTCAAAATTGGTTTACAATAAACAACTTACTACTAAATGATAAAAAGACTAAATGCATTAGATTTATTTTACCAAATGTTAAAAGAAACGTATGTGATGATATATTATTAAATGATCAGAAACTAGAATTTGTAAAAGAGACTACTTTCCTGGGGATCACTGTAGATGAGAAGTTGCAATGGGGGCCCCACATCAGGTCTCTAGCAGGGCGATTGAGCTCTGCAGCTTATGCTGTCTGGAAGATCCGACAGCTAACCGATGTAGGCACGGCAAGACTAGTGTACTTTAGCTACTTTCAAAGCATCATGTCGTATGGAATTCTGTTGTGGGGACAGGCATCCGACGTTGAGTCTATTTTTATCTTGCAAAAGCGTGCCGTCAGAGCTATATATAACTTAAGTCGTCGCGAATCTCTCAGAGAAAAGTTTAAGGAGATCAACATTCTGACCGTACCGAGTCAATTTATTTATGAAAACATTATGTATGTTAGGAAAAACCTACACTTATTTGTAAAGGTATCTGACAAACATGATTATCATACTAGACATAGGAATAGATTGAGTCAGCCTTTATTTAGATTGGCAAAAGTGCATAAGTCATTTCTGGGTTTCTGTGTTAAATGTTATAATAAAATCCCAGTTGAAATTCAAAATCTAAATGAAAGCAAATTTAAATTATGTATAAAGAAACATTTATGTAAACTAGCATACTACAAACTAAATGATTATATACAAGATAAAAATGCTTGGAGGCTAGCTGGTCCTACTCCACAGGATGTTTAGAGGAATTTTTGATTTTAATTATTAAATTGTACACTATGTTGTTAATTGTTGATGAACTTCTAAGTTTTTGTAAATGTGAGTACCCTGTAACCTATTATAATTAAGTAAGACTTGTAGAATATAGGTACTTGTGTCGGCTGGGAGCTGTCATGCTCACTTAGAGGTCTCATTGGCGGTGGCACGGCCACTGGATCGCCCAATTCCCTATAATATGGTTGAGTTGGGCGGTGCTGGTGTACGTGTCATGTTCGTGAACGGGCGCCGCCTATTGGGACTGGTCATCTCCAGGCTGTCTAAATATGTTGTCCTTGAGGTTCACTTCTTTTTCGTACCTTTTGCCTGAACATTAGTGTTACATTGTTCTCACATATCAGAACCAACTAAATGATGTAACAAAGAAATGTATTGTAAAACTGATTGAAAAAGAGTAACCATGGAGTTTCTTGCTCGTTCTTCTCCATAGGAATCTACACTTTGGAACGAGCAAATAGCTTCACTAGAGGACAGACGGACAGACTGACATGCTTAATTTTAAAGCTCATGTTATATACTTTTTTCCTTTTTTGCTTGCTTGACGTTCAAAAGTGCCTATTGTGGTCTAATTGAAATAAATGATTTTTGACTTTTGACTTTTGACTTTTATAGTTATCTAGCCTCTGTCGCTATCTCTGGTGGTTTAAGAGCTCTTATTTATAATCTTGAATTACTAATAATTTAATTATTAGCTACATCAAATCTGGTACTCTGATGTAATAAATAATACACATGATTAGATACGTTATTTAAATTAAACCACATACAATAAAAGTATTATTTCATAATAGACATGTTGAATTGATTAAAAGATGTTAATTAAGTAAATGCCATATTGTTCACAGATTAAATAAAATGGCCAGTTTGAGCAAAGGCTGTGGGAAGTATAAGGTTATATTAGTGAAAGTGCTTATTCTTATTAGGTATGTACTGAACCTCATTGCGCGCATTTAAAAAGCGTGCGTACGGAACGTAACCCGCGCGTACAACTCGCTCTTGCCAGTATTTTGTAAATAATTAAATCTAATCATCGATTTAAGTTTTTTTCTAAGCATATCCGGGCACAAAAACACTACTAGTCTCATATACATGTGTTTTTTTACAAAACCGGTCGAATTAATATGCTGAACGCGACTCCATAACGTCTCCGTACGGCAAAATCAACCTTATAACTCTTGTATAAAGTCGGTTACTGAGAAGACAGTGAAAGTTAATAATTAAGTATCTTTCTTAGAACAAAACTTGTGATGTTTGTATCTATTCAGTAGTCCTAACGCCATCGAACGAGATGTAGATTTGTGGAGAAAAAAATAATTAAAAATAATTATATGATAAGTCACTGAATAAATTATTCAATAAGTGTTTGGTGTCAGTGTACCGCTGTCCGTTGCAGTGCAAGTGAGGTTTCTGTGTTTAGATGTCAAAATCAAGGATTACGCCATTTTTAAAACAAGTAAGTACCTACCTACTGGCTGCGTACACTGAAACGTTTTTTTTTAAACGCGCGAACGCATTCTTTTTGCGTTCGATTTTTGAAGCGCCATTTTATATTTTATTTAGGTATTATTTGTGGTGTATATTTTGTTTTTTTTTTTAATTCATGGATTATGTTTTGTTTCTGCTTTCGAATTTGTAAATGTCAGACCTAAAGGTATGTTTTTTAACAAAGAATTGGAATATTATTTAAAAAAATACAGTCAACATGAATAAGTATGATTCGTGACACAGTCTGTTATCGCTACGTTATAAAACGCGTGGTCGTGAGTTCGATGTCCGAGCAAAAAATTATTTACATATTGGTTATTTTTATTGACTCCCTGATTGGGACTTTGATAACATTTCTCCACATTATGTCACTTGTGCAAATAAAAGGTTAGTTAGGGTTAGTTATAAACTGTCATAGGCACTTATATTCGCTATATAGGTAAGTCCATCACAGGATCAGGAAAACGGTATATATATATTACGGTATATATTATTAACGGTATATTTATATTTGATAAAATTATAGAGCTGACATTAAATTAATGAGATTGAATAACAGGACTACCTAAATGTATTTATGAGTATCGTCTGCAACAAATTATAATAAACTTGTTCGACTGGTGTCAAGTGAATTTGAAGCATAAAGGTGACGTCGCATCATGAAATTTTGATATAAGACTTATAGAAAATCATTACATTCTAATACCCTCATTTTGTCAGGGGAAAATCATCAAATGACTTCTTCCGCCCGGAGTAAGGAGAGAGGGAGTGCTAGACTCTTCCTGACTAAAAAATCCCCGTTCCTTCTCCTGCTTTAGGTCGAGGTCGCGGTGTCTTATTGCGCTTACCCCGCAACCCCGGCTGAACATCAGCCCTGTAGGGCCCCGTCTGTGGTGGTCTATTGCCTTTTTGAGTCGCGCGCGGAAAGCTATGCTCAGCCCAAGCATACCACCGTATCCTCAGGGTGGTCCTCACAACATTCTAAAGCGCCTATTTTTGTTCTGTTCTATGTAAACATATTGCCTCACATTCGAAACTACCGAACGAATCAGGATGAAATTTAGCAGAAAGTTACAAAGATTTAAATTTGGAAAAGCTTATACTTATGGCTATGTTTAATAATCATTTGTGTGACGCTTGTTTAGTGCCTATTGTAACACTTCTCTCCATTATCCTTGGGGTTGATTGGTATATTTGTATTTATTGCATCAAGTGCTAAAATATAACTAAATTATTCTGAGAAAATGTACGATGTGGTTGAGAAGGTCGGTAGAGGGCGCCCTAGACTGTATTGTATAGCGAAAAAATAGTCAATATTTTGAGAAACTTAATTCTATTACCTTTATAGGAGAAGGAACGGGCTGATTTTTAGTACTTTTTAGCCAGTAAGAGGATAACACTTCCTCTCGCCTCTCGCGTCAGACAGAAGTCATTTATTTTGAAGATTGTCTCCGCTCTAAAAACAAATTCAAAAAAGTCATAATGCCATAACTTGTTTGTAAAAAAAAATTATTCCTATATTAGTATGATAGTTACGTACGGCTAGGGCATTTCTTTTAAAACAAGGTTTTTTGACAGAAACAGGTGGACTAGTTCTTAGGTATAATAAAATTTTCGATATTCTTGTACTTCTACTTTAGCATGTATCTCTTCAAGCATGTATACCTATGACAAATTGATTATTAGGTATCGTAAACTTTTTTTTGCAATAAATAATTGATTATGTCAGTAAGCCGTTACAAAAGTCATTAAAATTTATTTGACATTTACTACTAGTTGGCAAAACTTGAGTCAAATTCGATACGCAAGTTTTGACGTCAGAGTAATATTGCGTCAAATAGCTTACATATTTCTTAAAAAATAAATAAAAAACATCGAAAATTTAGTGTATCGACTGTCGATACACTAAATTTTCGACCATGATCATAGATCAATGAATGAAAGTGCCTACCTATATGTAGTTATTTATCAATATACAATAATTGTAAAGAAACAAGAATTTATTTTTGACTAAGGTCTGATTTTTCAATAGTCATAATATTAATGTTATCTGAGGAATAAAATTGTTGCTGTCACTGTCTTATACAAACATTCTGACGCGACAGCATAATAATTATTCCCCAGCTATCTTTTATCTAACCATTGAAAAATCGGCTCTAAGAAAACTAACCAATCCACACTGTTGTCAAAGTAGTTAGATGGAGTCGCGAGCGCAGCATCATTAATAAGAATCAGACCAATCTATTTGGACACATTATTATACTCAACTGACACCAATTGTGGATTGTTAAGAATATTTTGACCAATCAATTTTTATTGACCATTGGCCAAGATCACGATATCGACCGCTCAGTTCAAGGTCATTCAGCAGACATTGACATTTTGAAAATCATTCCCAGTAACATTTAAACATCAAAATTATCTTACGATTACCTAGTATAGTTACTACAAACGAGTTTCGTGCTCATGGCTTCATGACACGCCTACTTCTACTAAGTATAATTATGAAGAGTTACGAGTGCGTTGCCGATCTTTTCGAGATTAGGGATTTAGAGATTTTGGAATTGGGAAGGGATTTGGGGGAGGGGAAGGATTGCGGCTCTGGTAACCTCACTCACACGGCAAAACACAACGCTGTGGTTGCTTCACGCCGATTTTCTGTGAGGCCGTGGTATCACTCCGGTCGAGTCGGCCCATTCGTGCCGATGCATGGCTCACTTACAGTTAGCTTCTGATAATATTTTGAATATTAAAAGTTAATGATACTTTTATAATGTCATGTAGGTTGTGTGCCCCTACATATCTCCAATCGGAAATCCCTACTCTAAAAGGCCGGCAACACACCCACTCTTCTCGTGTTTCGTACTTCGAAGAGCCACCAATTGGTCAATTGCTAACAAAAAGCTGAAGCCTTCGCCTTATCATAAAAAATATTGTCCCGTCTTAGCAACAATCATTTCTGGAAAATTCATTAAAATAGTATCAAAATATTTCTCGATCCAAATAGTGTAGCAATTTGTTGTACAAACACACTGTGTAGACGGACAATACTATATTAATAGACGTATGTATTATATAACAATGGTTACGCATATAATATATGTACATAACATTATGCCGAAATATATGTACAACGTCATAACTATTTGCTCAGGTCAAGTCTATTAAACTGAGGACCTAGTCTGCGTTTTGTTTACGTTAACGCGATCGACATTTTAGCATGCTTAGCTTCCTGATTGGTCGTTTAACTTGGAGCGCACCAATCAGTGAGCTGGACGTCATGAACGAAGCGCCGGAGTCGTGGGTCAAGGAGAGGATCTCAAGCCACCGTAAGCGGGGGTCTGCGGACGGCGAGTAAGTTGCTGAACATCAGCCTTATAGAGCTGGGGTTAAGCGCAATGAGTCACCGCGGCCTCGGCTTAGAGCAGGAGAAGGAACGGAATGGTTTTAAGACAGTAAGAGTCTGACACTCTCTCTCGCCTAACCCTGGGCGAGAGAGTTCATGATGGTTTTTTTTCTGACAAAAAAAAATCATACCTCGGCCCCGGTACGGAACAAGAGAAGGAACGGGATGGTTTTTAGTCAGTAAAAGTCTGTCTGTCACTTTTGCTCCGCCCAGGGTGAGAGAAGTCCGCATTTTATTGTTTACTAGCTACTTTCGCGCAGTTTCACCCGCTGCTCGGTTCCTACAGATCGTGGCGTGATGTGTTACAGCCTAAAGCCTTCCTCAATGAATGGTCTATTAAAGTCAAAAATATGTTTTTAATTGGAACTAGTAGTTACTGAGATTAGCGCGTTCAAACCATCTCTTTAGCTGTATAATAATAGTATAAATTGGCAAACCCGCTTCCCGTGCGCGAGATATTATGCAATATTGGAGATTATGCTGCTTAGTGGCGATCTCTATTTGACTGGTCACGAAAACACACCGAGCTCTAATGGTATGGTATGGCAACCATAATTGCTTTTCAAATCGGTTTGTATTATAGGTGCCATTTACAATTATTGAAATCATGAGCACCATACTTGTAGTAATTACATTAATTATATCTATGCAACGTGAACGATTATAGTCTGGTGATTGGCAAGGAAATAAACAAATGGTTTTTAGTAGGTAAGTATTGGCACAGTAAAAATATCATAGTATTGGCACAGTAAAAATATCATCGTAGATATTATTACCTTGGTATTGGATTGCATGCATGGCATCCTGCAGAAAGATCGCTGCAATTTTGGACGAATAAATTTTCCGTCTTTTATGATACAATTCGAAATTTAAATTGAATCGCTTACTTACCATCAGGTTATGGTCTGATCATTTGTCATAAAATACAATATTTTTATAAGAGAAAAAAAAGAAGAACAATTTTGGAAATACTCTCCTTGAATAGATGCCCAACCCTCGTTCAGCCAGGGTTGCCGGTCAAGCCCAATAATGTATGGCGGCCTCGACCTGGAACAGGGTGTTTTTTATCAGTAAGAGTTAGACATTCCCTCTTGCTTCACCCTGGGCGTAAAAAGTCATTTGATGATTTTCCCCCTTAAAAAAGACCTTAGCCTTTGTTTACAAGAATAAATACACATAAGATATGGCAAAAAAATGCAATTATTTTTTTTAGCCCTTAGACGAAAAACTAATCTATCCAAATTACTTATGATCACCCATAAGCCAATTAGATATGGGATTTGGAAAAACCAAATTAAGTACATCGGTCGGCCATATTTTTTTATAAAAACTTTGCCAAGTTTTGACCGTTTCAATGAATTTAGTACATGGAGTTATTTATGTAGCGCCATTTTTTGTTTCATTAGTTTATAGTATATCCTTTATAAGTATTGTTGCTTTTGCTTTATCTATACTAATATTATAAAGAGGTAAAATTTGTAAGTTTGTAGGTAGGGGGTAATCTTTGGAACCGCTGGCCGGATTGCCAAAATTCTTTCACTGATAGATAGCTACAATGTTCCTGAGTGCTATAGGCTATAAAACATCACGCTACGATCATATGGAGCTGAGCAGCGGGGGAAACCGCGCGAGAGTAGCTAGTATTAGATGTTTTTTGTTGTTTTTTAGAAGAAACTCTACGCATCGTACGCTCGGATCTGATTCTGATGGTTCTGGATAATGTACGAATGTACCAAAGAAAGTCACGTATTTGTTTTTTCATTTGTAACTGGCCGCTATCACGCCAATTGATGACGCGATGGAGCACGCCTACCCATTTTTCATGAAGTGTCTTCTTTCGCCCAAGGTAAAGCGAGAGGGAGTTCCAGACTCTTACTGACTAAAAAGCCACCCCCATTTCTTCTCCTGCTCCATGCCGACGGGGCCGACACTTACCCATAAGCAACCTATTCATTCGGGCTTAGTGCCACCCCGGTTATGACCCCTGTTAGTTACTAGTTAGTAAGTTAGGTAGTTAGATACTACTAGAGATGATCTCCGGCCACTGTAAGCGCACGTCTGCGGACGGCGAGTAAGGATAGCTCGCCGCCCGACCACAGCCAGCCCCGAGCGTACAGTACGACGGGGCCCTAAAGGGCTGATGTTCAGCCGGGGTTGCGGGGTAAGCGCAATGAGGCACCGCGGCCTCGGCCCAGAGCAAGTGAAGGAACGGGGAGGGCCTAGTCAAGAGTCTGACATTCTCTCTCACATTACCCTGGGTGGGAGAAATAATTTGATGATTCTCCCCTGACAAAAAAAAGGTAATTAGATACTATCTATTCTAACTATATGATTACAAGATACAGATGCGCAATAACTAGCTGACATTCATAGCGATACTCTCGTTATACCTATATTGTATTACGGAAGCGTTTTTATAACAAGTTTTTATTACTTAACATCATATATTAATATCACAACTATTGTTTTTCAAGCATAACCAGCTATGTAGATACGACCACACCCACTTTTCCAAGTGTTAGTTGTACCTTTTGTAATTAATCATCATCATCATCATCAACAACAGCCTATAAGTGCCCACTGCTGAGCAAAGGCCTCTTCTCATAGGGAGAAGGTTAGAGCATTAATCACCACGCTTGCTCAATGCGGGTTGGCGATTTCAAACTTATAATTAGAAATTATAAGTCCAGGTTTCCTCACGATGTTTACCTTTACCGTATGTCAGTGGTGTCTAAATAATCATAGAAAGTACGTATAACTTGGAAAAAGTCACATAGGTACTTGCCAGGTTTCGAACCCACACCCTCTAGCATGAGAAGCGAGCTCCTTAACCTCCGGGCCACCACGACAATGCCTTTTGTAATTAACCAGATCTGATTCATAAATGTGATGGAAGGTGATAGCCGGGGTCGTGGGTCAAGCGCTATATGGAACCGCAACCTCGGCCCGGAGCCGGAGAAGGGACGGGGGGTTTTTAGTGGATGGTGTAACTAAAATGTATTGTAAAATTGATTAAAAAAGAGTAACCATGGAGTTTCTAGCTCGTTGTTCTCCATTGGAAACTATGGTCTAGAAATGTTAATGATCACATAGCCATTATAACAGTACGTTATTATGGTTTTGTTTTAATGAAGCCATACCCAAACTTAATATTATAAATGCGAAAGTAACTCTGTCTGTCTGCCTGTCTGTCTGTCTGTCTATCTTTTCTTCACACCTAAACTACTGAACCGATTTTGGACATTGTTTAGAACTCAAAAAAGGACATAGGTTAGTTTTTATACCAAAAATATATGAGAAGTCACTTTTCCACGCGAATGGAGTCGCGGGTAAAAGCTGGTCTCTTATAAGGGGATGCAAGTGGGAGGATTAAGAAGAAAGCCTTTGTTCAGCAGTGGATGTCTTAGAGCTGCTGCTGCTGCTGCTGCTGCTGATGATGATGATGATGATGATGATCTTTTGCAACCATTCGCTGGCTCAGTAGCCAAACAATAATTACTATCTCGATACTAAACCAATCATTATTTTCGTACCTGCCTACCAAATAGTACTGTAATAACATAATTGCTTTTAAAACTAGTGCAAAATTGAGAACTAGTTTAAAATCCTGTGTATAATATTGTACAGTACTGCCTGCATACTTATTACATAAGTTCTGGCTGTGTCAAGGCGAGCTGGGCTGAATGGAGTAATCTTACCACGTCTGAGGCAATCACATGGCACGTTGTATTCAGATGTAGAGTGTTAAGGGTCGGGTGTTGCAAAGTGAGATTTATATTGAAGTTATACTTGTGGTATCGTCAATTCTGGGAAAAAAATTACCAATGTTGCAAAGAACAAAACATCTTATTATTGTGCGATAAATAGACAGTTAACACATTTTAGCACACAGGTTAGCCAGTTTTTCATATGAAAAATAATTGTGACTCATACTTAACAAAGTAGATAATAGAAATTATATATTTATAATATTTTCCCTACACGGGATCACAGGATACTGGAGCTTTGCAAGGCGTACGAGGGTCGCAGAGACCCGTTGAACAATAGTTTTAATTTAAATGTGTCATTGTATGCGCTAGAGAAATTATTTATTATAATCACACACTTATTACCACATAATCTCTGACCATAATATCTACAGATTTTTTGAAGAATTGAACAGTTTCCTTACTGAAAAATAAATTAGTTTTATTTCCAATACAATGAATTATTCTACGTAATCATACTACCATTCATTTATTTGACTATAACCTATACCTACATAAATTTTAGATACTATTTGGAAAAACTACCAGAGTTTATAAGCGTAATCTTCTGCTAACCTTGCTTTGATAGTTTCATGCAGATTTATTTATTGTTATAATTATTCATCCACAATCAATAACTAATAATCTTGAAATACCAAACTAAATAATAATAAATTTTAAATGATTTACATAAACGATAATGGTTATATCTGGCTTTTATGTTTTCCTTATACTCTCAGATAAGAAACAAAATGAAGATTCAGTTTTAACAAACTAGAAAATAACTTCAACCTTAAAGAATGAACATACATTATCGTAAACATTTTTTATCGATATTGGTGCAGCTGTTTACGAGTTTACAGAGACAGAGACAGTTCTTGCTTATTTATCTAGTTTATATTGTTAGTTGTATTGTTCGTCGGACAACTTAGCAGCACTAGCTATACTGGTTGCAAACTGACACTTGCGTGCCAGTCTTCAGAACGGGTCCACTTAAACTGGTGTGGTTCTTTCCTCAAAAAACCACTACAGAATGAACTTGCACGGTTCTCTCACATTATGTTATTTTACATTGTCTGGACTTGAAAAGAGACTGCCATCTGAGTTTGTTTCGGCATTTCTTCTCAGAGTAGTCAGATAGGAAATGCCGGCTTCATCTAGTTTTTCACATATAAATTGACGTGTAAAAGTGCCGTTTTATGGCCTTTTTGCAAAAATAAATTCATTGTTTCATTGTTTGTTTCACTAAAGTTACTTGTCAAAGTGTTTCAATATATTGATGTTTCAGCTTATAACTTTGTATCCAATGTCTAATGTTCATAATATAAAGTATACTATGTAGGTACGGAGCGGTTATTTTTTAGTTTCTAACTAGGCAAAGGCTCGTTAGTGAATTAAGACAGTTTTCTTCCTCCTCAAATAGTATAGTATGTCGCTATGGAGCAGAAGTTGGATACTGCGATCTCGGCCACCCCCTTCTCCTTTTTATTCAATAAGAGTTTAAATCTCCCTTTTTCCAGGGCGAGAGATCAATTCATGACTTTTCCCACTCAAAAGAATAAACTGAACTATGTGATTTTTTTTTCTAATAAAGCGTTGTGTACATTTGACCTATTAACATAATTTATATTGTATTTTATTTTTGACTGTGTTAATCTATTTTAAACACCAGTCTCAATATTTCCAGTGCTTCGTGTCAGCGACAGTGTGCTTCACCACCATCGGCCACGGGTCCGTGGTCGGCTTCCCCGCCATCTTGCTGCCGCAGGTCAAGGACCCTAACTCCCACATCCAACTGACCAGAGAGGAGGGGTCATGGATAGGTAAGCGTCATTTTTTTGTATAGGACGGCTAGAAATATAACCACGGCCTCACAGAAAACCGGCGTGAAATAACCACTGCGTTGTGTTTCGCCGTGTGAGTGAGGTTACCGGAGGCCCAATCCTTCCCCTTTCCCAATCCCTCCTCAATCCCTAAATCTCCAAATCCCTAATCCCTAAAAGGTCGGCAACGCACTCGTAACTCCTCTGTTGCGAGTGTCCATGGGCGGCGCTGATTGCTTACCATCGGGTAATCCGTCTGCTAGTTTGCCGACTTATTACATAAAAAAAAAAAAAAAAAAAATGGACACCTGAGAAGTTAGTTTTGAGGATTAGGGGTTTCAGAAATTTAGTTTTGGGGCAGTAAGAAGGTAATTAATAGATAGGAATTTACATGGTAATATTTTCTGCCGCTATGATATAGCTAGATATGCATAGCCAGTTGTTGGCCGGTCCCTACCTAACCCTAATTGTAAGTAGCCTCGGAATAAAGGTTTCTGTTTTCGGTGGCCACAAATTACTAAACCACGGCCAAAACGCAATGTATTAAAGAAATTCTGTTTGTTGACATTTGATTACAAAATACTAAATACCCTTAAATTGACCAAGTACCTACTTAAACACTTAGGTTTAGGGGAGGGCAAGGATTGAACCTCCGGTAACCTCACTCACACGGCGAAACACAACGCTGTGGGTGTTTGCTGGTTTTCTGTTTAGCCGTGGTATCACTCTGGTTGAGCCGACCCATTCGTATCGCTCTTCCGCTTAAATTAAATTAAAAATCTTTCTCGCCCTCTAACGATTTCCATTGTGGTATAAAACTTCGCCTGAGGTCAATGTAAAACCTAAATAAACTAACTTAATCCAATGTCTATGGGATACGATAAATAGACATTCATTTTGTTTTTAAAGCCTAAGTAAGTACATCTTATTAGCTGTATTTGCCTAATCCTTCTTCTCCTCCGCAATCCCTAAACCTCCGAAAACGATCAGGAATCTCCGTACCTACTCATAAGTTACTGGTGTTGCGGATGTATGGGCAGCGTCAAATGCTTACCATCAGGTAATCCGTCTGCTCGTTTGCGGTCCTGTCACAAAAAACACGAAAAAAAACCTGAATGAGACGGTGCCGTTAGATTGATATAAGAATTAGTTATGCAAAACCAGTTCTGTCTAATGTTAAGATTAGATAGCTGACCTACTCAGTCTGCTCGAATTATTCTCGGTTAAATGCAAATATTATTATGTAAAACCATAAAATTTCATTTCACACTTGCACGGCTTCACCAAAAAAAAAACTAGAATACACACTACATAATAATATATAATACCTACATAATTTTATATGCAATTAAAATTACGTCGTAGTGTTAAGGATTCACCTTAAGTTATATACATATATTTTTAACTTTTTAGTAAATATAATGCAAGATACTAAATATTTATTATTATACATTATTTATCAGTTTGCCGTACCTTATCTAACACCGCATGTGAAAAACTAAGAACCAACTTAACTAAATAAAATAATCTAGTTTAATTTTTTTTTTTTACTTTTTCTTCGCAACGTATGTATTTATGTAGTACGAACGTCGATGCTGGTCGCTCCGCCACTACGCTAATCGCGTAATTAAATAACTTAATACATCTCTTCTCTCTTCACAATTACAGCATCAGTCACTGCCATCACACTGCTATTGGGCAGTTTCTTAGCGCCACCTATCATGGGCCGGCTGGGCCGCAAGATCGCGCACTTCGTGGTCATCGCCCTCATAATTCTCGGCTGGATAGTAATACTGCTGGCTACAAGCTTAGAAGTAAGTATAAAGAATGCCCTAAAAATATTCGGATACAAATGGAGAGAGGAGAAAGTGCTGTATTTTGTTTGGGCCACTAAATTAAAATGTCATATCAATCTTATTTTCAGGCAATGATAGTAGGAAGAGTAATCCACGGCATGTCATTCGGGCTGATGCTGCCTCTTCGATCAGCCCTCCTCGGAGAATACACAAGTCCGAAGAACAGAGGAGCTTTCCTCACTACTGTTTCCGTAGCACAAGCCTTCGGGATCCTACTGGTTCACCTCATAGGATCCTTAGTAACTTGGCAGAAGACTATCCTCATCGTCATCGTATTTCCCCTTGCCAGTTTACTCATGACATTCTTTACCCCCGAATCTCCCAGCTGGCTGGCTGCAAGAGGAAGATTTGACGACTGCAGAAGAGTCTTCCGCTGGCTCAGAGGCGACGAAGAAGAAGCAGAACTAGAAGAAATGATCAGAGCTAGATGTGAATCTAACAGAGCTGCCATAACCAACTGTAGAGATCTCATTGTGCTGATGAAGAAGAAGGAGTTCTACAAGCCTATCGTGATAATGATCCACAGTTACTTGATGGGAGAGTTCTCTGGTGGTGCTCTCATGTCGTGTTACTCCACCACAGTAATCTCTTTGATAGCTGGTCCTGACGCAGACGCTCACTTGTGGATGATAGAGTTAGACACACAGAGAAACATATCAAATATAATAGCAGTGTATGTGGTGAACAAGATAAAACGGAGGACAATGTTCATGGCGACTGGAGGGCTCTGTATCCTCAGTAACATAGCTATTGCTGGCTATGTTTATGCCAAAATCCTCGGAGTACTAACCTACACAGCGATATGGGTTCCAATTTTGCTGATCAACATACAATTCTTCACGGTAGCTGTAGGTATGGTGTGCTTACCTTACGTCATTGCTGGGGAGATATTCCCTCTGGAATACAGGAGTGTAGGAGGTAGCATCAGTATTGTATCCATTGCCAGCGGATATTTCCTTGTCACAAAAACCTTCCCAGCGATGGTGGAAAGTATAGGTCTACATGGATCCTACGCGGTGTATGCGGCTGCCATGTCGTATAACCTGTGCGTTGTCTGGTTTTTACTGCCGGAGACCAAGGGAAAGACCTTACAGCAGATTGAAGACCACTTCAAAGGAAAGACAACGAGTCCTGAGGAAGAAGAAGTTAGACAGCAACTCAAGGATAAACCAGATGTTGAGAAAGCTAAGGCCGAGAGCTGACGAGTAAATTTGGAAACAAATTGGAAATGAGAACAAAAAACATCAAATTGGAATACACAGATTAGATTTTCCACCTTTTTAACAACAATGAGATTTGATAAATACGAATATGTATATTGCCTATTTATTCATTAAGCTTTAGGTGTTAAATTAATTACACAGAGTGTGCAATTGCAATAATAGGTAGCTCAATAATTATCTAAGTAAATACTTTTATAATTGTCGATAATAAATGTGATATTGTTGTATCAATGGTTTTATTGTTCCTACATATATCAAATACAAATACCTTCTTAGGTATTTATAATAAGTAGATAATGTAATTAAGTTTATTTTCAACTGTACGCTAAACGGGTACTAATATGTATTTATAGTTTTTTTGATGGTATAAGTCGGCAAACGAGCATACGGATTACCTGATGGCCTGATGGTAAGCAATCGGCGCCGCCAAAAGACACCCGCAACACAACATGAGTTACGAGTACGTTGCCGGCCTTTTGGGGATAAGGGTTGCGGATATTTAAAGATTGGGTGGGGGGGAGGGATTGTGCCTCCGGTAACCTCACTCACACGGCGCAATACAACGCTGTGGTTGTTTCACGCCAATTTTGTGAGAGGCCTTGGTATTTATTAGTCCAGTCGAGCCGACCCATTCGTGCCGAAGCATGGCTATCCCACACTTTATTTATATAACGGTTAAAACCAGAAATATAAGAATTCTGATGAAAGTGTGCCTTCTTAATTTTTGCCTGTGTGTGATGTATGGTCATTGGTTAATTTGACTGCACGGTTGGCGCGGTGGCTTAGCAACTGGCTGGCGCGAAGTTTGTAAACGCACCCACCACACTAAAAAAAATGTGTCCACTTAATTTCTGAATTTGAAAATAGGATTGGTTAATTAAAATTTATTGAAAAGACCGATTTAATCTCGTAAATTAACTTAGAATATCTCTACTAGTTTCAAGTTACAAGTACAACTGGACTCTTCTCCATGAGCAGCGTGCGCGTCACGACGAATCCCAGTGAACGCATTCCAGACTTTGTTGATGTTGATAGCACTGAATTGCAAAAGATTCACTTGAAAGTATAGTCACGACCGTTCACAGCTTTATGGCTATTTCCATGGCGCGGCGCTAGTGTAGCGTCGATGCGCGTCGCCCGTCCTGCTCACACGTCACTGTCTGGGTACAGACATCAGTAATTCAAGATGTATTCAACCTTATACTTTTGCAATAAAGTGGAAAATGTGTTAACGGAGTCTGGAATTCATTTAGCAATTCGGTGTTATGTATGACATAACTGTGTTGTAAGTTCTGTTTGTTAAAACATTGTCCTCATGTCTACAATTTTGTTTGCATTCAGTAAAAACGTGCGTAAGTCTTAATTTTTATCATGATGACTGATACGAAATGTAGATCAGATAATTGCAAATATTTTTTTTGGTTAGATAGTGTGAGCGTGTAATAATTAACTAGAGTGCATTCACTCTTTCACGCAAAATGTCGAACAAAAGAAGTAGATTCACGCCATTTTTAAAACAGGTTAGTGCTTACATCTTGTTTATTATTATCTGTGGTGCTTAAACTATTTTTAGTATTGACGGCTTGTTCTTTTTTCGCATTTGACTGCCACGCTAGCGTAATATGACTTTATATGATTAATAAAAAGTAATTTAGATAATGAAATTATCACAGCTTGGCAGTGTGCCCCGTATTATCGTTTTTGATTTTATCGACCAGCCATATCGTGACTTGTTATTTGACAAATAGCAACAGTGGCGGTGGAGGGCCGTGGTTATAATCAACACCGCCCATTTTCGTTGCTGGGTGGAGAAATCTAATCAGATTTAATTCAGATTCAGAATTTCTCTGAGAGATTTAAACTAAGGACAGAGGAGGACATAAAGTAAAATCTTTAACTGATAATACCTAAGTATAATTGAGTCTATTACCCGATACCCAGCCGTTTTAAGCCATATCATTTTGAAATGGCACGCACACTCACTCTAAACATTAGAGATTTTAAATAATTATCATTAGAGATTTTAAATGATGATAATTCTTCAGGGTTGCTATCGTTCACTTGTTTATTTATTCTTCAAACAATCTAAAACACGTAAGTACAATGCAATGGAATTTACAACCTAAGGCATCGCGAATCTCTTAGAGAAAAGTTTAAAGAGATCAATATTATGACTGTGACCGTCAGTTTATTTATGAAAATAGAATGTATGTTAGGAAACACTTAAAATTATTTGATAAGGTATCAGACAGACATAATTATCAAACTAGACATAGAGATAGATTGTGTCAGCCATTATTTAGATTGGCAAAGGTACACAAGTCGATCATGGGATTCAGCGTTAAGGGTTATAACAAAATCCCAGGCGAAATACAACAATTAAATGAAAGAAATTTTAGATTATGTGTAAAGAAAACTTTGTGTAAAAAGCCGACTTCAAAAACAAAAAACTGACAAATAATTAAAATAGATATTTTAATACCACTTTTAGTACGCGAAGCTAATACTTTTAATATTAATAATAAAACACTATCAATTCTATGTGCTACCTATTCAAAGGTTTAAAGTCGGTGCCAAGCCTAATACATTATATAATAAGCATTTGATTGATGGCCTTAGCGTAGAATCAGAAGTCTATATGGTTTCGTTACATGCGAAATTATATATGTATAGCTTAGAATGATATTCGGGTGAATTATGAATTCTGAAAGTTTTCGTACTAAACGTAACTGGTGGGTTGTTAAAAGTAGTAGTAGGTAGCTTCGTTGTTGGTTGTGGAAATTTCGTCCTTTAGCAGTTAAACAGTCTTAATTCTCATTTAGTTTTATTCTGTTTAGGGCTTGGCACCGACTTCAAACCTATGAATAGGTAGCATATAGAATTGATAGTGTTTTATTATTAATATTAAAAGTATTAGCTTCGCGTACGTAAAAGTGGTATTAAAATATCTATTTTAATTATTTGACAGTTTTTTGTTTTTGAAGTCGGTTTTTTTAAACGTAGTTTTTTTTTATTTTTTACTTTTTAGTGTCTGTTACAAGTTCTTCTGTAAACTACAGTAATTGTAAATATAAATTAACATATTGAATAGTATATATTTTTTTAAGCAGCTATGTGTAGGCCTGCGAAAGGAGCCGCTCTTTTAAAAGGTATAGATCCCATGAAATGGGAAAGTTCTCATCATCATCGTCATCATCATCAGCCTTTTTAATGTTCCCACTACTGGGTCACACGCCACCTTTCTAGGAGAGGGAAAGTTCTTATCAATGTAAATAAATTAAGTCCAAACACGAGGTCGCTACTGTAAACCGTTGAGGAGTTCCCTAGACTGTCCTTCGTCTTCATCATCAGATCTCTAATGACAGTCACAATCCATCTAGATGTAAAGTTCTTATCAAAACGAATTAATTAAGCTCAAACACAAGGAAGCTGCTATGAATCGTTGAGGAATTCCCTCAAATGTCAATGGTCTCCATCGTCAGGTACCCTGCAGACCTTCAGTTGTTATAATCCATACAGGTACAAAGTTTTCATCAATATAAATGAATTAAGTTCAAACACGAAGTAGTTACTGTAAACCGTTCAGGAGTTCCCTGAGCTGTCCTTCGTTCTTATCATCAGACCCTTAATGACAGTTACGACCAGCCTGGTGCAAAGTGCTCGCCAATACGAATCATTTAAGCCCAAACACAAGGCAACTATTCCAAATAGTCAAGGAGATCCCTCGACTGTCTTCCAGCTCCAACATCTGGTCGACTTCGACCTTCGTCAAGTTGTAGTGTTGTTAGGCCTACTTAAACATCATGCAAAAAAACTACTCGCCCCTACAATTTTCGAAAGTTCCCCTCGGTTTCTCCAGGATTCCATCATCAGGTCCTGACCTCATGACAATGGGACAAAATGGCAAGTATACCCTATCGAACAAAAAAAAAATTTTGCAAATCGGTCCAGGCGTCTTCGAGTAATCGGTGTACATACATAAAAAAAAAATACTCGTCGAATTGAGAACCTCCTCCTTTTATGAAGTCGGTTAAAAAAGCATATTACAAACTGAGTGATTATATTGAGGACTGGTCTAGGACTGGTCAGGTCCGGACTGTCTATTGTCCTTAAGGTTATTTTCTTTTTATATTTCTCTGTGTACACGCGTTACACTGTTCTCACGTAATCAAACCAACTAAATAATGTATCAAAGAATATTTGTGTGACACTGATTTAAAAAGAGTAACCATGGAGTTTCTTGCTCGTTCTTCTCCATCGGAATCTACACTTTGGAACGAACGAATAGCTTCACTAAGAGGACTGGCTGACAGACTGACACTTTATGTCCTTAAAATTTTGTTTGACGTTCAAAAGTGCCTGTATGGGTAATTGAAATAAATGATTTTGACTTTGACTTAACTGTTATTTCCAGAGACTTTTTGACTTGACTTTATTGTTTCCAGAGATTCTAAAGTTTTTGATGTTACTTACGACTTCTTTAATTCATCAAACCCGTATCCAGCCCAATATCAGCAAAATATTTGTTGACCCGCTTGCAGTGTTTCGTGACGTCAGCAGTGGGCATCAACCTCATCGGGCATGGGGCTGTGGTGGGCTTTGCCGCAGTGCTGCTGCCGCAGCTCCACGAGCCGCACTCTGACATACACACGACTAAAGCTGCTGACTCATGGATTGGTACGCAAAAGTTTCTTAGTCTATGATAATTATTGTTATTTACCTCATACGTCTAGCAAACAAAACGGGGTGTACTTATTTTAAATTATCGCCGCTTCCATACTTCACTTGTTAAGTCTGTGAGTTTTTAAAATAAAAAAGTCGCAAATATTAAAATAATTACATTTGCTGTGCATCGCATTCTTCCGTAAAGCTAACGGACCGGGTACGGGTGTCCATCGGCGGCGCTGATTGCTTACCATCAGGTAATCTGTCGGCTCGTTTGCCGAACTATAACATAAAAATAAATATATGGAGAGTCAAAGGACTGGTCCTCCGGTTACTACAGATAAAACAGAATCCAAGCGTGGTTTAACGCCCATTCGGCCCAAAGTATGGATCTCGTATAATAGAATGCAGGCTATTCCATTAATAAAACTCTTTTCAAGAACTGCAAAATGGCAACTTAGGCTGTAGTTGATTAGCTTCTTCCTGCCTTATTGTATCGTTTAGGCTATTAACTGGCCATGTATACATGACACCTGCCTATAGCTTATCAAGGCTTACACACAATTCATATCCACACATTATCAGCTCGAATGATAAGCCTAATCATTACAATTAAAGCCTAATCACCACACAGGTCGTGCAGACTGATTGGCTAGGTACGATTAGTGGAACAAGGACTTAAAAAACTAATTTCCTGAAATCACTGATAGTTTTAGCTTATGTGAATTCATGTTCTTTATCTATTATTGGATAAGGAAGGAGAATTGATTTAAGCAAATCATTGATCGCTTTAATTTTTGCTTGTTGGGATGACTGTTAAACTTCTGTCGACTTGCTGCAATAAGCGTATTTCCCGAAGGGGTTCTAATATCAACTGTTTGTTATCTAAGTTATAGATTATCATTGAGTAGGATGCAAACTTAAATTATAATGTACAATGCCTTCATCGGGTGTTTTTCTAGCAATTCAACTATCAAAAATTCAAAGCGCCAAATCTTTTGTTTATCTAAAATTACACACATTTTATAAATAAGTATCTATTTATAAACATCCTTAGGATCATCGTCCTCCTTCCATCAATCCTTTTGGATGAGAATGGATTCTATTATCTTCAAAACTTTGCACAGAATGGAAAAGTAAGCATAAAAATAAATATCAAATGAATAGACCTCCTTCTGAAGCCAATGTTATGTTTGTTCCAGCATCCGTATTTGGCATAACCCTGCTGATAGGCAGCTTCCTAGCATCTCCTATAATGGGCCGTTACGGACGAAAGGTGGCGCACTACACCATCAGTGTATCAGCGCTGGTGGGCTGGCTGACCACACTCCTGGCTGATAGTGTCGAGGTAAGGAGGAGTTTGATTCTGTATGTAGATATTTAGAAGAGCTGTTATCAAATGGAGAGATAGCCAAGGCTAATGATCAACATCAGTAACATAACGTTAAGGGACAAAATACATAGGGGTTTACTGATAGAAACTTCCCCCACCTTTATACCGTTCGTATATCTCATTGCAGATGATCCTAATTGGAAGAATCATCGGTGGATTATCCTTCGGCCTGATGCTGCCACTTCGATCTATCCTCATTGGCGAGTACACCAGTCCGAAGAACAGGGGCGCCTTCCTCACCACCATATCCCTAACCCAAGGATGCGGTATATTCTTTGTACATCTTGTTGGATCTCTCCTCAGCTGGAGGCGAACTGCTCTGGTCTGCCTCTTTCTCCCCTTCATCAGTCTCGTCATGACACTGTTCACTCCTGAGTCACCAAGCTGGCTCGTCTCCAAAGGAAGATACAACGAGTGTAGAGAAGTATTCCATTGGCTTAGAGGCGATGAAGAAGATGCAGAATTAGAAGCAATGATTGAAGCTAGGATGAACTTCGAAAAGACCATTAGGAATCAAAAGAAATTGGACATCATAGCGACTGTTCAGAAGCAAGAGTTTTACAAGCCCATCATTCTGATGGTTCACGTTTACGCTATGGGACAATTATCTGGTGGAGCCATCATAGCTGCTTACGCCACTACCATCATCGAGCTGGTCATGAATCCTGGTGTCAATTCTGGTGCTTGGATGATAGGTCTAGATAGCCAAAGGATTATTGTAAATACATTGGCTATTTTTGTAATAAATTGGTTTAAGAGAAGAACTATGATGTTTTCGTCAGGGGTACTATGCGTGGCCAGTCATGTGGCCATAGTCGCTTACGTATACTTGAAAGACCAAGGGGTTTTGAGCGCAGAAGCTAATTGGATTCCAGGTATACTGCTTAACATTCAGTTCTTCTCAGTTTCCATAGGCATGGTGCCTCTGCCTAGCGTGATAGCTGGGGAGGTGTTTCCTCTAGAGTACAGGAGTTTAGCAGGCAGCATCAGCCAGGCGTCAGTAGCTGGCACCATGTTTTTAGTTCTGAAAACCTTCCCGGGTCTTGTAGATAATGTTGGAATAACTGGCACCTACTTAGTGTATGCTGGTTTACTGACATACTGCCTCTTTGTGATCATGTTTTTGATGCCAGAAACGAAAGGCAAGACGCTGCAGGAGATTGAAGATGGATATAGAGGAGTAGTTGTGACCGAGGAAGAACGACAATCATTAAACAGTATTGGGGATAATGGAAAGATCGTGTCTTCGGAAACCAAATCCTGATTTATTTTAAGAAATGTACTTAATTGTAAATATTGTAATAAGTAAAGTTTATTTGTTAGTAACCTTACAAAACTGTAATTCATTAATTATTATGTTTTCGGATTAATCACGTAATTTTTTTGACGAGATACTCGACGTGATACAAGCCGTGCTATCCGAAAACATAACAATTAATTTAGTATGTCTCACGAAAGTTAAAATAAAAACATGTTTCCAGACAAAGGGTTAGTCGCTGTTTATTTAAAACTTGTGTTAGTACCTTCACCTATACTTAAAAAAAGCCTTTTAAGATTTATAAATGTTACAAAAAAAATTATTTAAGACTTAATATAATATATAAATCAAATCAATCAAATTTACGCTGTGTAATTCTTCGATCGCACAAATGTGGATGTAGCTTTCCTAGCTTTCCTTAGCTAAAGCTACATACACCTTAGTGCGATCGGAGAATTACACCGATGGTGCAGAGGTAGTCCCTATTATGGTCCTACCTATTAGCCCCAATTCAACATGGTAGATGAGCTAGCTTGTTATGATAAAACAGGTATAATTCCAGACAACGCCACTTCCCCGTGATAAAGAACTTAAAAAGGAACAGATGGTATAGAGTGAAAGTATAATTTGAATATGTCATTTTATACGGTCATCATCCATCATCAGCCTATAAGTGCCCACTGCTGAGCAAAGGCCTCTTCGCACACGAAGAAGGATTGAGAATTAGGTAACGCTTGTCTAAGTAGAATTGGCGATTTTTAACTTTTTAGAAATTATAAGTCGAGGTTTCCACATGATGTTTTTCCTTCACCGTATGTCAGTGGTGTCTAAATAATCATAGAAAGTCGTAACTCGGAAAAAGTCACATTAGTACTTGCTAGGTTTCGAACCCGCCGGCCGCCTCATGCATGAGAAGCGGACGCCTTAAGCTCCGGGCCACCACGACGACTTACACAGCCACATTTTATAGGGTAACTTATGTATTTATAACACTATCTAACGTAAAAATCCTAGTATTTTTCCTACGCACTAGAGATAAAAGATTTTAGTCATAGATAACCGGTGTGACTGCCCTACCTCTACATAATCTCTATATCCTATTAGGAATTTTTGATTGTTTTGTTTTTGTTTTGTTAATCGGTCACAACACTAGTCTTTGATATTCGTAGCTAAAGTGCAGACGTCTTTTGTGTATTGATAACGTACAATAAAACCTGTCTCAAGATTATCATGTTCTGGTCATTTCTCTTCAGCTCTTTTAGACAGAGATACTCGTACATCAACACTTGGAAATGTAATAAACATAGGTAATACAAAGGTTTTTCAGATAATTGATGACAATCGCTTGAGTTCTTCCACGAAACATGGAAGCCATGACCGACACACAGACACAATTGAAATAAATTATAAAACTTTAGTTTCTAGATTTTAAGGAATTATAGAACTTCGCCCAAATGACTACAGTTCTTTCAAACCATTACAGTATGGTTTAATATTTAGAGAATTGGATCCTCGAGTGTCAGACTCTTACTGACTAAATACTTTTCCTTCTGTTCTTCTGAAAGTACCCTATTGGCGATACATATTCCTCTGGTGTTGCAGGATTTCTCAGTACCAAACCGCTGACCATCAGGTGGGCGATGGTCAATGGTTGGTTCGTTGGCTTGTTACCTACCACTTCAGTGGAAAATGCATTCCAACCAAAGTCTGACTCCATTAAACCTATATCAGAGAAAAAGAGAAATACATTTTTATTTTTTTTTATATTTATGTTAGGTATCCGTGAACTACTTAGATAAAAATCTGAAGTGCAATAAAGATTTACAATTGAAAGACAAAGTCGTAAATATGCAACCAACACTTTTATTGTACCTGGGTATTGATAGTCAGGCGAGAAGATTAAATTAATATCATTTTTATAGTTGTTATACAATGAACAATTGTTTCAAGATATTATTAGGATTCAAGATATTATATATATGACTTTTATAAACATTTCTCCAATTGAATCCTTTGATTGAAGCAAGTTGAGTACTAGAGTTGTTGTTGTTGTTGTTTTTACTTGTTGACATAATTGTGGAAGAGCTAAGCTTCGGCAAGAATGAGTCGGCTCGACCGGAGTGTGGTATCACTCCGGCCCTCGGTCTCACAGAAACCTGGCGTGAAACAATCACAGCGTTGTATAAATGTAAGGCAACGTGGGATGTCATTAGTGATAAACTTGATAATACTATGAGTGTCCATGACATAAAAAATATAGAATAAAATGAAAATACTATAAACGATCCAGTAGAAATAGCTAAAGCATTCAATGAGTTTTATATTTAAAAAACAAATAAGCGTAACAAAAATAATCCTAACTATTCCCTTCTTAATTCAGTCGATTCAACCATTTATTTATCTCCTTGCACTGGAAGTGAGGTAGTGAAAGCAATCAAATCACTGAAAGATACTAATGCTGTTGGTTACGACTCTATATCAACTAAAATAATTAAAAATGGTCAAAATGAAATTGCAACAGTACTTATTAACCTTTCATTTTCTGAGGGCACTTTTCCTGACAAACTTAAACTTTCAATTGTAAGACCACTGTATAAAAAGGATTAGAAAGAGAAATTGAATAATTATAGGCCTATAACACTAATACCCATTTTTTCTAAAATTTTCGAAAAGTTAATGCACTTTCGCATAAGTAGTTTCTTGAATAAACATAACATCTTATCTGATGATCAAAATGGGTTTCAGAAAAACAAGTCAACTATGCTTGCAGCCTTTTCTTTAATAAAAAATGTGACGGAATTTCTAGACAAGAGGAAGCGAGCCTCTGCTATCTTTTTTGATATATCTAGCGCTTTTGACTTTGTTGATCATCAAATCCGGCTACAAAAATGTGAATACTACGGGATCCGAGGAAATGCACTGCAGTGGTTAGCTAATTACCTAAGAAATCGATAACAATGTGTAGAAATTATTCGCGTTGACAAAAATCTTATTTCTACATCACACAAATCTCCTTATCAACTAAATAGTTTCGGAGTCCCCAGGGAAGTGTATAAGGTCCTCTTCTTTTCTTAATATATATTAACGATCTGCCCCAAGTTACAAATTTTAAGTGCACTCTTTTTGCAGTTGCTATTTCCATAGTAGTACCTGAGTATACCAAAGATTTTTCTGAATACAAAGAAACACTTATCAGCACAATAGAAAACATAGCAAGCTGGCTCAGTTAAAACAACCTCACAGCTAACATATCTAAAACTAAAATTATCCAGTTTAGGAACTACAACAGCAAAACTCAAAATTTAGAAATAAATTATCGCGGTCAAAAAGTTGAGGAAATCGATGAAACAAAGTTTTTAGGGATTTTTCTTGATAAACATTGTAATTGGAAAGTGCAGGTAAATAATGTTTGCAAACGTATCAACAGGTTCGTGTATGCTCTTAGAAAGATACGTAAACTCGCATCTGAAAAAACTGCACTATTAGCATACCATGGATACGTAGGCTCAATTTTGAGGTATGGAATTTTACTATGGGGTAATTCGGTAGACATAAATAGAGCATTTATATCCCAAAAAAAGTGTATTCAGGCAATAAGTGGTATTAGTCCAATGGAGTCCTGTAGACCATTCTTTAAAAAAATTAAAGTGCTCCCGATAACATGCCTCTACATTTATGAAGTTGGGGTATTCGTTAAAAAACATGGTAGGTTATTCGAGAAAGTTAGCGAAACCCGAAAGTATTTGTCCAGAGACCCGAGTAAGTTGGTTCTTCCTATGATGTCGACTACTTTGTTTAAAAGGAACTGTTATTGTATGGCTATCCAAATATTTAACAAGCTACCTAAAACTGTAAGGGTACCACCACTGTGTAAATTTAAGAATGTGCTCAAGAAATGGCTTTTAGAGAAATTTTTCTATTCTATGGCCGAGTATATGGCTCATAAGGAAAAAAACTGTTTAGGCTAGGTACCATAAATTCTTAATATTGTATTATTAGTTTTTAAGATTTTAAATTGTTATTTGTTATTAATTTTCTCTAGTTGATAATACCCTTTTTATTTATATTTGTATGCCGATGCTACGGCGAAACATGCAGAACTTATAACAAATGTTACATCTATGTACCCCGTGTTTCATACAAATAAAGATTTCTTATTCTTATTCTTATTCTTGTATTTCGCCATGTGATTGAGGTTACCGGAGGTCCAAATAAATATTGGCAAACGAGCTCCGAATGTTAAGTTATCAGTGCTGTCCATGGACGTCCCAAATTCTAGAGGGTTGGGAGATGTGTTGGGGCAGGGAAGAATTGGTTCCGTTGAAAAATTTTGGAAATAGTTCAATTTCGGAGAACTCTAAACCAGTGTCAGTAGTGGTGATTCGCTGGTTCTGGCGCACGAGTCAAAACCCTGCGTCATCGTCGAAATCTAAAATCTAAGTTGCACCAAACCTGAATAAAATAAAAGTTTGCTATCCTAGGTTTTGGCGTGCTCTGATCACGTTTCTGCAGTCCGTTTTAGCGTAGGATGCGTGGTTCTGGAGTTATGCAAATCACTTAACTGTTATCTCATTCATATCCGGTGGTTCTGAACCCTCATTAACGTTCCATTGTTCGCCTATCGTTACATTATATATTGTGCTTCGAACACTCTCATTACGGTTGCTTTGGCGTTCTTATCTATTACTCATTGTTAACCTCATTATGTCTGATTTTCTATATCATCAATAAAACACAATCATTCATTTTTATTTCGAAATTTTATTACTTTTTTTACAAAATATGAGTGGAACATCTCATCCACTAAATTATCATTGTACAGTGTGTTTCCTGTAAATATGTTCGTAAAACTATGCATTGAACATCCCTGAAACTTAAATAGCAAATACATTAAGCAATATTCGCTACAAACCGAAGTCTAATCATTCTGAATCCTATCAACATTCCAGTCCCACCTCTTACAATTCCTTTTCAAAAACTGAAGATGATATCGCTCAGGTGTTCGTCCATATAAATCAAAATATTAACCGATACCATTTGTATCGATATGTACGGCTACCCAGTGTGACTCTGGTTTATCATCCGCATCCAAATTGCATATTATATACGTTGGTACATGTGTATACATGGTAGTCTATTAAGAGCATAAACATTATTTTCTAGACTGGAATGAATCTTTTTCATATGTTTTTGTAATTCTAGTGTATCCATGATATTACTGTTATTGGCAGATTATTACAGTACCAATCTATTCAATGGTTGTCATAGGAATGATCAATGATAGTGATTT